GTACTCTACCTCACCTCATCATTCCCACCTTCCTCAGACTCACAACCGTTTCTGGGCCTTGGACCCTGATACGCCCACTGCCCCCTACTCTGTTCCTTTGAGTTCTGTCCCGAAGGGTCCCCCTCCTGGTACTCTGTCTGGTGTTCCCCTTCTTTCTACCCGGTCTGTCATGTCTCCTGTGTCTTCTTCCTCATCTCCCTCCGATCCTCCTTCCCCTTCTTCTCCTCCATCTATCGACTCTCCCTGCCGCCTGTCAGTGCGGGCTGATGTTCATCACTCTCCTAATGGCCGTCGTGTGTGCTCTTGTTCGGCTTCTCCTGTTGAGACGTTGGAATCCGTTGCCCAGTACGTAGTTGCTGGGACACCTGTCTCTTTAAATCAGAAGCGTAAGCCTGGCTCCTCTCCTTCCTCCTCCCTGGCGGGTAAGAAGGATTCGCTTTCTTCCTCGGCCCCTACTTCTGACTCTATCGCTCCTTCCCCTCCCATTCCGGAAGTTGCGCCCCTTGTTCCTTCTATGGAGGTTTCTTTGGCCCCCGCATCCCTCTCGGTTGCTGCCCTTGCTGAGGTACGCTCCCCTCTTCCTGCTGCTGTCCTTGCCTGCTCCTCTCGGTTGCTTCCTCCTCTTCCTCCTCCTCTGGACCCCGCCCGTTCACCTCTGGTCTGTTCTCCCGCTTCCTTCCCTCCGTCTTTGCTCAGTTTACCCATGCCCCCTAACCCTGACTTTGCTGACCCTGATCCCGACCCTGATATTCTTTAACGTGCTATGTTGCTCTTTCGCCTTTGTTTCTTCCTTGTTCTCTGTTGTTGTCCTTTCTCTTCTCACCGTTGTCTATTCTTCAATGGAACGTTCGAGGTTATTACGTCAGTTTCCTTGAACTCCAACTTCTGATTTCGCGGTTTTCGCCCCTTTGTGTCTGTCTCCAGGAGCCGATGCTTGGTGCTCGTCCTGGTCGTTTTCGTGGCTATTCCTTTCTCTCCTCCCCCCCCCCAGGTGTTGCTGGGGCTCCCAACTCTTCTGCTCTCTTGATTCGCTCTGATGTTCCCTTTGTCCCCTTACTTTTTCCTTCGCCTCTCCATTGTTTTGCTGCTCGTATCTTTGTGGGGAAATGGTACACCGTTTGTTCCATTTATCTCCCCCCCCCCCCCCCCCCCCCCGAGTGTCCCGCTTTCTCTTGCTGATCTGAAACACCTACTGGACTCCTTGCCGGAGCCTGTGCGCCTGCTGTGTGATTTCAATTGTTGTCATTCCCTTTGGGGTGAGTTTCTGACGAACACCCGAGGTCGCCTTCTTGAGCTGTTTATCCTCTCTTCCTCCCGGTCTCTTCTGAATTCTGGTGAGCCCACGCATTTGGACTCTCGGACTCGCACCCTTTCCTGTCTTGATCTTTCTCTTTGCTCGTCTTCTCTTTACTTATATTTCACGTAGCAGGTTCTTGATGACCTCCAAGGCAGTGACCATTTCCCCATCCTTGTAACCTTTCTCTATTTTCACCCTCCCCTCTCCTTCCCTAGGTGGTAGTTTGCTAAAGTTGACTGGAACCTATTTACCTTCAGTGCTGCTCTCTCTGACTTCTTCCTTCTGCCTCTCTCTCTCTCTCTCCTCCTTTTTCATGACACTGTCTTCGACGCTGCCCTCCGCTCTATTCCTCGCTCTTCCTCTCAGGGTCCACGGAAGTGCGTTCCCTGGTGGAATGCAGACTGTGCTCAGGCTGTCAGCTGCAAGCGGGCAGCCTGGAAGAGACACCGCCGTCAGCAGACGGCCGATTCTTTTCTTTTGGAAGGCGAGTGCGGTGGCCCGTAGGGCCATCCGTACAGCTAAACGTGAATGTTGGACATCTTATGTTTTCACCATTACGTCCCAAACTCCTCTGCCACAGATCTGGAAGCGTATCCACAAGATAGCGGGTAAGTTCGTTCCCGATATTTCACCGGTCCTTCACCTCCGTGGTACTCTTGTGGCGGATCCGTTGCAGGTCGCTACCGAACTGGGTTCCCACTTTTCTTCTGTTAGCTCTGGTCTTCATCTTCCCCAATCTTTCCTTCTTCGTAAACCTGTCCTTGAATGTCGTCCTTTAAATTTCTGCAGTCATCTTCGATTTCCCTATAACGATCCCTTCTCTCTCTCTGAACTTCGTTCTGCCCTGGCCCTCTGCGGTTCTACGACGGCGGGCTCCAATGGCATTCATTAAGAGATTCTTCTCCATCTCCCTCCGTGCACGTCTCAGTATTTACTGAGTCTGTATAATCGGATCTGGGAGTCGTCGTCGGTCCCTGAGGACTGGCTCGATGCCGTTGTCCTCCCTGTTCGCAAACCAGGGGTCTCTGGGAACATCCCCTAAGGACTTTCGCCCTATTGCCCTCACAAGTTGTGTCTGCAAACTCTTTGAACGTATGGTTAACGTTCGTCTGATGTGGTTCCTGGAACACCATCACCTCCTCTCCCCTTCTCAATTTGGTTTCTGCAAGTGCCGCACCACTATAGATGTCCTGGTGAACTTGGAGGTCTATATTCGTACTGCTTTTGCTGCGAAGACCTCCATTGTTGCCATTCTTTTTGACCTGGAACACCTCTTGGCGATATCATATTCTATCCCAGGTTCATTCTTTTGGCCTTCGTGGTCATCTCCCTCTCTTTCTCCGCAGTTTCCTCTCCCGTCGTTCCTTTTGGGTGAGGCTTGGTACCGTTCTCTCTGCCTCTTTTCAGCAATACGAAGGTGTGCCCCAGGGTAGTGTTCTGAGCACTACTCTATTTCTGATTGCCCTCAATGGTCTTCTTTCCTCTCTTCCTTCAGGCGTCTTCTCCGCTCTCTATGTCGATGATCTTACCCTTTGCTGTCAGGGTGATGATTCACCTCTCCTTCAACGCTGGCTTCAACTTGCTATTGATTCCGTGTCGTCTTGGGCCACCGATCATGGCTTCAAGTTCTCTACTACTAAGAATTGTGCCATGACTTTTACTCGGAAACGGGTCGTTCATCGTCCCTCTTTGTCACTTTATGGTCATCCCCTTGAGTACAAAGATTCCGCGAAGCTTTTGGGGTTATTCTTTGACACTCGTTTGTCTTGGTCTCCCCATATCTCTTACCTCCGTGTTGAGTGCTATAAGGCCCTTACCCTCCTTCGGGTATTGTCCTATACTTCTTGGGGAGCAGATAGGCGGGCACTTCTTGCTTTACATTCCTCTCTCGTCCTGTCTAAGTTCGATTATGGTTGCCCTGTTAATCGTCTGCTTCTCCTTCTACTCTTTGCCATCTTGATGCTTTGCACCATACTGGGTTGGGTCTCGGTTCTGGTGCCTTTCGTTCGACTCCCGTTCTCAGCTTGTATATTGACACTGGCTTCCTATCTCTCCAGGACCGCCGTGATCGCTCCTGTCTTCACTATCTTGCGCGGTCCTTGCAACATCCTTCCTCTCCCCTCTGTCGTGCTTAAACTTTTATCCCTCCTGCGATTCCTGTTCCTCTTCACCACCTCCCTCTTTCTGTCCGGTTGTCTCGCTTACAGGATTCTCTTTCCATTCGTATTTCTAATATTTCTACTCGTGTTGTTCCTTCTTTGCCCCCGTGGAGAGTCTCCCTTCCACAGTTTTGTACATCCTTGACCCGCATCCCTAAAGCTTTTACCCCTCTTTCGGTTCTAAAACGCCTTTTCATTGAGCACTTTTCTTCTCACTCCCACTCCGTTTCTGTCTTCACCGATGGGTCTAAGTCTGCGGACGGTGTTGGCTACTCTGTTGTTTTTCCTCATCACACTTATATGTGTCGCTTACCTCCGGAGACTAGTATCTTCACAGCGGAGCTTTATGCTATTCTCTATGATCTTCGTCTCCTGCTCTCTCTTTGTCAATCTTCCTTTGTAGTTTGTAGTTGCTGTTGACTCTCGTAGTGCCCTCATGGCTCTCGGGTCCTTTAATCCGGTTCATCCAGTAGTTGTCGAGATCCAGCATTGGCCGTTTCTTGTTCACAGTAAATTTAAGTCGGTAGAGTTTTGTTGGGTTCCCAGCCATATTGGTGTGTCTTTAAATGAGCGTGCGGATGCTGCCACCAGGGAAGCTGTCCGCTCTTGTCCCATCTCTCGTAAAGGTATTCTTTATTCCGACTTTTACCCGGTTATCCATTCCTCTATTCTTACCCATTGGCAGGCTTGTTGGCCGTCTGTTACTGGTAACAAACTATGTTCTCTTAAAAGTTGTGTCCTCGTAACTGTCCTCCAACCACCGTAACCGTCGTTGGGAAACGGCTCTGGCGAGGTTGCGTATTGGCCATACTCGTTAACTCGTGGTCACTTGATGGAGCGACACCCTGCTCCTTATTGTCTTAATTGCCTTGTCCCTCTTACGGTCGTGCATATCGTTGTTGAATGTCCTGACTTCCGGGACGAGGTGTGTGTTTTTTTCCGACCGTCCTCCACGGTCGCTCTGTCTCTCGATAGTATTCTTAGTGACTCGGATACTTTTGATATCGTTCGCCTTATGCGTTTCTGTTCTTGTATTGGCATCCTTAGTGATATATAGCGCCCTCTGATTATCCCGCACATTTGATGGTGCTACATAGCCTTCCCGGTTTGGTGCCTTTTTTTTGATAATTACTTACTTCAAACTCAACAAGTCACAGTGTAGGACTGAGAACAGGAGATGTTTCTTCAACCATAGGGTTATAAACCAATGGAACCGTGTACCCGCGAAAACCGTAAATGCCAAAATCTGTTAACTTTTCTAGTACAACTCGAAAGGATCATCAAGGCACAAAAGGGGACCTTCGACAAGCCGTCGGCTTCCTGTCCTCATCGAGGTCACTAGTGTTAGTAACTCTCAGGTAAGATTTGCACATCTGTAATGTGTCTACTTGTCACATATATATGTTGTGATCATTAAAGCCACATTTCTGGATGGGATCTGGTTTTCATGAAAGATCCTAAAGTCAGTTATGCTACAGTGTAAATATAACAAGTTATTAATTTATTGCATTATTGTTCAGTGAGGAATTCATAAAAAATGCCACTGTAAATTGTTCAGTTTATTTAATATTGAACCTTGTTACATAAATATGCATGCTACATCTTCACTAGTGAGCCATTCCAATAGATATGTAACAGATTCTCCATCAGAAATTCTTGGTAGGGATATTGTATGTCGGAGCGTTGAAGAAAGTATGGTGGGTAGTTGCGCCTCTGCCACTCCCGTACCTGGTCCTCTGCTGACTGTACCAGCTCCGGGCTCGGTGGCTTCATCATTGATATGCCTTTAGGGAACAGCGTGCTGCAAGAATTTATTGTATATGACAAAGGCAGTACTTTTAACATACAATAAGTTAATTGTAAGTACTGTATAGTGTAGTGCTACTTTTTTGGCAATGTGTAATGTGAAGAATTCTTAACAAGCAACACAGAAATTACCGACAGATACAACAATAACAGGAGACTCGACATAAGCGAGGCCCTGCACATCAAAAAGTCAATACCAGCAACCAACAACCAGTTAACACACAATTACATTCTACCCACTTCAAGACACCGAACCAGCACAGAAGCAAGAAAATAAAACACGCAAAATACCCATTCTTTCGTGTTCTGTCTTTTCTCATTGATTAGAGACCTGTCACCACCCAAAACGAATATAAGCAAGATCTGTGTATGTAAAATTGTCTTAGAAAATGTAAGAAGTGTTCTTGCAAAATGCTTCTAGGAGTCATACCATAAAGTGTGAAAATGAACTTTGGAGAGTTAATTTTTCAACTACCCCTGACCGTAAAGAAAAACATAAGCAATATTGAGAAGATGCGTGTTAGAATCATTAATCTTACCCTTTCGGTCATATTCAACAACATATGTTTACAAGAAAGACTGCTACCAAAATATACTTATATATAATTATATTATATATATATATATATATATATATATATATATATATATATATATATATATATATATATATATATATATATATACATATACATACAATTGACGATCACTAAACACTGATCATTTGTATGCGGAAAATCCACAGAGAAATAGGAAAGAGAGATGAACGTTTTGGCCGATCTGGGCCTTTGTCAACACCGGACTCAATTATATCGGAGTCCGGTGTTGACAAAGTAAGTAATTATCAAAAAGAAGGCACCAAACTGTGAAGGCTATGTAGCAACATCAAATGTGCTGCATAATCAGAGGGCGCTAAATATCACCAAGGATGCCAATACGAGAACAAAAACCCATAAGGTGAACGATATCAAAAGCATCCGAGTCACCAAGAATACTATCGAGAGACAAGCGACAGTGGGAAACGGTCGTAAAACAAGACACACGATCGTCCCGGAAGTCAGGACGTTCAACAAGAATATGCACGACCATAAGTGGGACAATGCAATTAGGACAATAAGGAGCAGGGCGGCACTCCATCAAGTGACCATGAGTTAAACGAGTATGGCCAATACGCATCCTCACCAGAGCCGTTTCCCACCGCCGGTTACGGTGGTAGGAGGACGGCCACGAGGAAACACAACATTTAAGAGTACTTAGTTTGTTACCAGTAACAGACGACAAAGAAACCTGCCAACGGGTATGGATGGAGGAATGGATAACCGGGTAAAAGTCGGAATAAGGAATACCTTTACGCGAGATGGGACAAGATCGGACAGCTTCCCTGGCGGCAGCATCCGCACGCTCATTTAAAGACACACCAATATGACTGGGAACCCAACAAAACTCAACCGACTTAAATTTACTGTGAACGAGAAACAGCCAATGCTGGATCTCGACAACTACTGGATGAACCGGATTAAAGGACCCGAGAGCCATGTGGGCACTACGAGAGTCAACAACAACCACAAAGGAAGATTGACAACGAGAGAGCAGGAGACGAAGAGCATAGAGAACAGCATAAAGCTCCGCTGTGAAGATGCTAGTCTCCGGAGGTAAGCGACACATATAAGTGTGATCAGGAAAAACAACAGAGTAGCCAACACCATCCGCAGACTTAGACCCATCGGTGAAGACAGAAACGGAGCGGGAGTGAGCAGAAAAGTGCTCAAGGAAAAGGCGTTTTAGAACCGTAGGAGGGGTAAAAGCTTTAGTGATGCGGGTCAAGGATGTACAAAACTGCGGAAAGGGGAGTCTCCACGGGGGCAAAGAAGGAAGAACACGAGGAGAAACATTAGAAACACGAACGGAAAGAGAATCCTGTAAGCGAGATAACCGGACAGAAAGAGGGAGGTGGTGAAGAGGAACAGGAACCGCAGGAGGGGTAAAAGTTAAAGCACGACAGAGGCGAGAGGAAGGATGTTGTAAGGACCACGCAAGATAGCGAAGACAGTAGCGATCACGGCCGTCCTGGAGAGACAGGAAGCCAGTGTCAACATACAAGCTGAGAACGGGAGTCGAACGAAAGGCACCAGAACTGAGGCGCAACCCAGTATGGTGCAAAGCATCAAGACGGCACAGAGTAGAAGGAGAAGCAGATGAGTAAGCAGGGCAACCATAATCGAGCTTATACAGGACGAGAGAGGAATGTAAAGCAAGGAGAGTGCGCCTATCCGCTTCCCAAGAAGTATGGGACAATACCTGAAGGAGGGTAAGGGCCTTAGAGCACTCAACGCGGAGGGCAGTTACAAGCTCAATATCTTAAATGGCCATCACAGGGATACGGAGCATGTCGCACATAACCATCTCTATATCCGCATATCTAGCACGACCAGTGAACTCCATGTCCACGGAGTTCACGCGCTTAACAGGAGGAAGGGGGCTACCCATAGCAAGCTCGCCATGTCAACCAGGGTCTTGCATTTTGTCGATTTTAAAATGAATTGCCAGTCATCTAATATTTACTGAATCGCTCTCAAATATTACTCATCATGTCTGTAATACTCACTACTTTGCATCTTGCCAATGAAGAATATTACTCACCAATAGAATGAATAACTACCCGGGGTATTTCTTTCCAGTAAGATTGCTACCCAGCCGTAGGGTGAATTACTCACTAATATATATTAGTCCTAAGAAAAGTATGTTCCCACCAGAAGGTGGTATTACTAACCGGGAGGTGGCAATACTTCCCAGAAGGTGGTACTACTTACCAGATGGTGCAAGGAGGTAATACTTACCAGAATGGTGTAATACTCACTAGTATAGTGTATTTGTCACTAGTATGGTGTATTATTCACCAGTATGGTGTATTTCTCACAAGTATGATGTATTATTCACCAGTATGGTGTATTACTCACTAGTAAGGAGTATTACTCACCAGTATGGTGTATTACTCACCAGTATGGTGTATTACTCACCAGTATGGTGTATTACTCACCAGTATGGTGTATTACTCACCAGTATGGTGTATTACTCACCAGTATGGTGTATTACTCACCAGTATGGTGTATTACTCACCAGTAACGTGTATTACTCACCAGTAACGTGTATTACTCACCAATATGGTGTATTACTCACCAGTACGGGGAGGCTGGGCAGCCAATTATGTAAAGGATGCGACCTTCAATGTTGAAACGAACTACAGCGTTGAACTTCTCTCGACTTTCTTCACTGAACCCGTGCAAGCACTGTGGAATACACGCAGGCGTATAGTTACATAATACAGGTTACAAGAACCAACCAATATATAGGAACATCTCATAATACAACTTCCATGCTTGTAAACAAAAATATGGGTGGAGCGAGAGTAATTTATTGACAGTAGATATTATAAGCCACTAGGATAATGTGACAATTTATTCATTGTTTATTGAACTGCAAATATAATTCTAAGAAATACAGTAACCATCTTTTATAACATGTGCTCGTTGCTGGCAGAATGTTGCCATTGTTATTTGGCCCTTATGTATGTTCTTCTTTGTTTTAATTTGTACATTTTATAAAGAAATTTTCAAGTGTGAGTCCTTCACTGTATTTATTCATTCATTATGTTGATGGCAATATTTGGTGATGACTCTGCTGGTGACTTTTGATGACTTTGCTAGTGACCTTGCTGGTGACATATGATGTTGGTGACTGTTGATGTGTTTGCTGGTCACTGCTGATGACTTTGCTAGTGACTGTTGATGACTGTGCTAGTCACCGTGCTGGTGACTGTTGATGACTGCTGGTGACAATGTATTTGCTGGTGACTGATGAGGATTTTACTGGTGATTGTTGATGACTTTGCTCGTGACTGTTGATGACCTTGCTCGTGACTGTTGATGACTTTCCTGGTGAATCTTGATGACTTTGCTTGTGACTTTGGTGACTTTACTGGTGATTGTTTCACGACTTTGCTAGTGACCTTGTTGGTGACTGTTGATGCTTTCGCTGTTGATTGTTGATGACTTTTCTAGTGACCTTTCTTGAGAATGTTGATGACTTTGCTGGAGACTATTGATGATTTTGCTGGCGACTGTTGATGACTTTTCTAGTGACGTTGCTGGTGACTGTTGGGGATTTCACTGGTGATTCATGATGTCTTTGCTAGTGACCTTGCTCTTGACTGGTAACTTTACTGGTGATTGTTAATGACACTGCTGGTTACCTTGTTTGCGATTGTTGATGACTTTGCTGGCGACCTTTGATGACTGTGCTTGGTGACTGTTGATGCCATTTTTAGTGACCTTGCTGGTGACTGTTGATGGTTTTGCTGGTGACTGTTGATGAGTTTGCTAGTAACAGTTGATGACTTTGCTGTTGCCTGTTGATGACTTTACTATTGACCTTGCTGATGAATGTTGATATATATTAAATGATTTATTTATATATATACAAGAAGGTGTGTTGGGTTCATGAGAGTACTTAACATTGATGTTTTTACATTTTTTCTTGTAAAGCCACTAACACGCATAGCATTTTAGGCAGGTCTTTAATCTAACAGATAATTTTTAGTAGGTAATTTGTAACAAAATTAAAGAAAGTTAACTGGTACATTGTAAGAAAATTTGACGAAGATTAGTAAGTACATTCAAGCGTGTTCGTAATTGTGTTGCTCAAGTGGTCCCACAAAGTGAGGTGATTCGATGAAATATCTATGCCCGAGATGACCATCGAGCGCTGTCGGATCTTGGGTGAAATAGTCTCATGACTATCAAGATTTTTGTACAGTTGTATGGTCTATTGGTTAAGGTACCAGGTACGCCAAGGTGCATAGCGTTCCTGGCTATCTGGGTTCGAATCCTTCTGGAGTGAGGTGGTTTTCAGTTGCATTTTGGCAAGGGAAGCATTCAAGCGTGTTCGCATCTGTGTTGCTCACGTGGCCCCACAACGTGAGGAGATTCGAAAAAATATCGAAACACGCCCTGACCAACCCGTCCTCGGTCAAGTCCATTCTATCTAGCGGTAAACCCCAAAGACGCATTCATCAATTTTAACATTCTGTTCATTCTATGTTTAGGTTCTGTTGGGGATTATTTGTATTTGAAGTACGTGGGTGAAACATTTACAGCGTTGTGGTTCAAACAAAAGTCGTCAGCAAAGCACTTGTTCCGGAAGTGTTCGGACGTCATCAGTTGTGTGTCGTGTGTCACCCCGTCCTCCAAACGAAGACCCAAAAGTGATTCCATGCACCCCCCAAACCCCCTCTTTATAAATGAAAAACGGTTTCACACGACTCAACTGTTGACGTTCGAATATTTCCGGAACAAGTGCTTCCCTAACCAATTTTGTTCGAACCACAACGCTCTAAATGCTTCACCCACGTTCTACAAATACAAATACTCGCCAACAGAAACATCTAACCTAACCTAACCAGCGGCTACATATGCACAATATGCTGACCACAAAACAAAAATGCATATACAAACATAACACAAATATAAACACAGCGTAATACAAACATAAGGGAAACATAGAGGCGAGAAACATACAAAACAAGTCTGCTAACACCTCACACACATAATGCACACATAACAAAGAGCACACCCCAACAGCCTGAAGGGCACACAAGATGACAAACAAGCGCACACGACATCCACAACCGAACACACAAACGTACAGGAACCGCACCCCCCCCCCCCACTAGCCAAACAAGAAAACCCACAATACAAACCGGAGCACGCAGGAACCGGAAAACAATACCCACCCTACCCACTCACACACCCCACAACCAGGCAACACAAAATACATAGAAATCACTTGCGAGGAACCTCGTGAGAAATGTACTTCTCCGGGAAAAGATCATAAGGATATTTCGCCTTGTAAGCTTCCCAGACTAGATCTTCAAGGTCGGTAGGGTTTTCGACCCCCCGCGCTCGAGCGGGTAACATAAACTCAGGAACATCTATATCTGGCGGCATCGGCCAATGCCTAAGGTCACTGACGCAAGTCGCATAACGAGGCTGGGGAGCGCCAACCACGCCCTTCGAGGAAGCAGATGACACCGGAGAAGTGGACGAGGGACGCCGAGCCTGCCACGCCTTCGGAGCAGGTGTCGGACGCTGAGACGATAGCACTTCCACGGATACCGCAGGAGACACGGAAGGGACTGCAGGAAACGGAAGAGGCGGCAAGACCGCTGCCGAGGAAACGGGTAACGAGGAAGGGGCCACAGAACATCCAGAGCGAGCATCCTTTCTCAACATCACCACCAGGCCACCCCGCTCACCACCAACTACAGCAGGGGGAACCACCGCCCACGAAGAACCGGAGCCATCCGACGCAGGCAACGCACCTGAAGCAGGACCCTCGGACACCGGACCAGAAGTGGAGGCCGAAACGCCGGCACCGGCATCCTCAGGCAAGTGTACCTCCGCCACCACCGTAGTGTGCACCACATCCGGAGCCACGCCACCGTCAACGGAAGGACGACACTCGTCGAATTCGCCAACATCAGCCCACACAGAAGAACGCCGGGAACGCTTAGGCTCGGGCCGCACATCATCAGACCCGGAGGCAGACTCAGCGACCCGCGCAGCACCAACCGAGCGAACCGACGCACGCCGCAGCACGGCAGCCTCCTCAACCACACGGGGCACCAGGCCAGGCACAGGAGGGAATTCCGGATCCACCTCATCTCCCAGCACAGCCGGGACAGACGGCGAGGGTGCAGGGACCGGGACAGACACAGCAGAGGAAGAACTGGAAGACGAGGGGTCTGAGCAAACGGCAGGCGGAAGAGGCGCAGGGACATCAGCCGGAGCACTAGGCGAGGACCCAACCTCTGGAAGAGATGCGGCAACAACAGGGGGCGCAACAGGCGGAGCAACAGCTGCTACAGAGGGCACCTCCTCAGCCGAAGAGACGTCCATACCCACCGAATCATCCCCCACAGGAAGGGGCGGAAAATCCTCCTCACTGAAGAGGTTCACTGGTGCAACAGGAGGCGCAGAACAGTCAGCAGCCTGATGGCCCAAAAGACCACAACGATAACACGTCCGCGGCTGACGGGCGTAAAACACCCGAACGTTGTACCCCATAAGGCGCACAGAGGACGGAATATCCGCCCGGAGTCTCATGCCCAGGGTGCGAATGTTAGACCTCACACCCTTAAGAGGACTAGAAGACACCACGTTCACTCTCACACTAATAACTGCGCCAAACCGCCCGAAATACCGCCGTAGCAGAGCCTCTGGAAACTCCAAGGGAGCCCCATGCACACTGATGTAAGTAAGTGCACCACTACTATCCGAGAGGGTGACAGTGCCCGCACCATCCGGCAGAGGCAGTGTCCGCCCCTCGTATCGCCGGAGAAAATCGCGATACGCCGCCTCCTCGGCAAACTTCACAATGGCCCTACGGGCCGTTACCAACTCGACCCCATAAATCGCAAACACAGGGACAGAGAGCAGTTCACAAGCCAGGGCAATCTCCGGGTAACCAGCCCGCACAGAGAACTCTAGTCCCACAGACTGAGTCCGGACGACTGGGGGTAGAGGGACCCCCATCGTAACGCCACGTCAGCACAGGCGAGCAGACACACACCCGCCCCCAACCGGCCGAAACGGGCAAACAACACCAAACTGCTGGAGCGCCGATGCAACACGTCTGCCCCGCACCGAAGCTAGGGCCAGACTCAAAGAAAGTTAACTGGTACATTGTAAGAAAATTTGACGAAGATTAGTAAGTACATTCAAGCGTGTTCGCAATTGTGTTGCTCAAGTGGTCCCACAAAGTGAGGTGATTCGATGAAATATCTATGCCTGAGATGACCATCGAGCGCTGTCGGATCTTGGGTGAAATAGTCTTATGACTACCAAGATTTGTGTACAGTTGTATGGTCTATTGGTTAAGGTACCAGGTACGCCAAGGTGCATAGCGTTCCTGGCTATCTGGGTTCGAATCCTTCTAGAGTGAGGTGGTTTTCAGTTGCATTTTGGCAAGGGAAGCATTCAAGCGTGTTCGCATCTGTGTTGCTCACGTGGCCCCACAACGTGAGGAGATTCGAAAAAATATCGAAACACGCCCTGACCAACCCGTCCTCGGTCAAGTCCATTCTATCTAGCGGTAAACCCCAAAGACGCATTCATCAATTTTAACATTCTGTTCATTCTATGTTTAGGTTCTGTTGGCGATTATTTGTATTTGAAGTACGTGGGTGAAACATTTACAGCGTTGTGGTTCAAACAAAAGTCGTCAGCAAAGCACTTGTTCCGGAAGTGTTCGGACGTCATCAGTTGTGTGTCGTGTGTCACCCCGTCCTCCAAACGAAGACCCAAAAGTGATTCCATGCACCCCCCCAAACCCCCTCTTTATACAACCCGTCCTCGACTCAAGTCCATTACATTCAGCGGTCGACCCCACAGACGCATTCATAAATTTTAACATGCTGTTTATTCAAAACGGGAATTTTCTCAAGTATAAATTAATATTATAATATATTGGCATATTGTATATATATAGGCATAGGATACGTTAGGTCAGGTGTTTAGGTTCTGTTAGCGATTATTTGTATTTGTAGTACGTGGGTGAAGCATTTATAGCGTTGTGATTCGAACAAAATTCGTCAGTGAAGCACTTGTTCCGGATATGTTCGAACGTCAGCAGTTGAGTCGTGTGTAAACCGCTTTTCATTCATAAACAGGGGGTTTGGCGGGTGCATGGAATCACTTTTGGATCTTTGTTTGGAGGACGGGCTGCTTTATAAATGAAAAACGGTTTCACACGACTCAACTGTTGACGTTCGAATATTTCCGGAACAAGTGCTTCCCTAACCAATTTTGTTCGAACCACAACGCTCTAAATGCTTCACCCACGTTCTACAAATACAAATACTCGCCAACAGAAACATCTAACCTAACCTAACCAGCGGCTACATATGCACAATATGCTAATATATAATATTATTATTTGATAGTTGAGAAAAGTTCTGTTTTGAATGAACAGGATGTTAAAATTGAAGAACGTGTGAGAACCTAAACACCTAACCTAACCTATGCCTGTATATATGCAAAATATGCTAATATAATATTAATATATATTTGAGTTCATTCCTGTTTTGAATGAACAGCATGTACAAAATTATGAATGCGTCTGTGTGGTTGACCACTGGATGTAATGGACTTGAGTCGAGGACGGGTTGCGTGTGTCAACCGTTTTTCATCCATAAACGGGGTTTGGCGGGTGCATGGAATGAACTTCGGATCTTTATTTGGAGGACGGGCTGCCCTGACTCCATGATTGCTTGACCTCGAGACGATGTGGCTTATTTGATCAGGACATGTGCATGGCTTATTAAATAAGCAACATTCTACGTAACAGCTAAGCTGTACTCCTTTTCAAAATAAGCCATTGTTAGTAGACTAACCCTTAGTAGTGTAATTAAACCAATCGATTAATTTCGATTAGGATATTAAATACCTCCCCCCCCCCCCACAGGTTGTGAAGGGAAGTTCCTAGCAGGACAACTATGAAAATACAGTCTGCTTAAATTAAAAAATAAATACTTAAGAAATAAATTAATATAATAAATAATTAAATAAACATTAAATAAATAAATATATTCCTTCTGGGAGATTTTCCCCGCAGACTTTGATGATGACTGTTGATGATTTTGCTGGTGACTGTTGATGACTTACATGATGACTGTTGATGATTTTGCTGGTGACTGTTGATGACTTACATGATGACTGTTGATGATTTTGCTGGTGACTGTTGATGACTTACATGATGACTGTTGATGATTTTGCTGGTGACTGTTGATGACTTACATGGTGACTGTTGATGACTTACATGGTGACTGTTGATGACTTACATGGTGACTGTTGATGACTTACATGGTGACTGTTGATGACTTACATGGTGACTGTTGATGACTTACATGGTGACTGTTGATGACTTACATGGTGACTGTTGATGACTTACATGGTGACTGTTGATGACTTACATGGTGACTGTTGATGACTTACATGGTGACTGTTGATGACTTACATGGTGACTGTTGATGACTTACATGGTGACTGTTGATGACTTACATGGTGACTGTTGATGACTTACATGGTGACTGTTGATGACTTACATGGTGACTGTTGATTTTGCCGGTGATTGTTGTTGACTTTGCTGGTGACTGTTAATGACTTTCCTTGTGACTGTTGATGACCTAGCTGGTGACTGTTGATGATTTTGCTGGTGTCTGTTGATGACTTTGGTGGTGATTGTTAATGTCTTTGCTATTGAGTGTTGATGACTTTACTAGTGACCTTGCTGGTGACTTGAAATTGCTAGTGACCTTGCTGGTGACTCCTGATGACTTTGCTAGTGACCTTGCTGATGACTGTTGATGACTTTGCTAATGACTATTGATGACTATGCTGTTGACAGTTGATGACTTTGCTGGTGACCGTTGATACCCTTACTAGTGACCTTGCTGAGGACTGTTAACGACTTTGCTTTTAACGACTTTGACATTTTAGTAAACTTAGAAGTACATAATATTTAAATTAATAATTCATTTTGTTGGAGGGCAGAGAGCCATGTTAGGGTGTCATGGCGGTCCCCGCTACCCCAAGGGGGAACTACTCACCCCCCAACAAGCTGACACTCTCTTGGGTACCCATTTACTGCTAGGTAAACAGGGGTATTAGGTGATAGGACCTAAATTCGGTCCATTTCTGTCCCGCCTGGGATTCGATCGCGGAATTCCGGATTGTGTGTCGAGAACGAACCCGACTGCAGCATTTGCCTAATTTCTAAATGTTCAGTAGTAAGTATTTGGGTTCCCCCGTGCTTTGAAAATTTGGGAATAAGAAGCACATTCTACCTAACTTCAAAGTTACCAGCAAAGTCACCAGCAAACTTACCAGCAAGGCCACTAGCAAAGTCACCGGCAAAATCAAATTCAAAATCAAAATCAAAATCAAATTTGTTGATGAACAAATTCATCAACAGTCACCAGCAAGGTCACCAGCAAAGTCATCAACAGTCACCAGCAAAGTCTTCAACAGTCCCCGGTAAAGTCACTAGAAAAGTCAACAGTCATCAGCAAAGTCACCAGCAAAATACCAACAAATACTGTCACCAACGCTGACTAGTCAACACTGACTGATGCCTGCACCCCCCCCCCCCTTTATTTATCAGCTGATTTTACCGCTCATAGCGACCTTTAAATGGCTTACCAGTAGGCAGGTACATGTACACAGAGACCCAAATGTAATTGAATCTAACGTCCAGACCAACCCAAATTAAACCAATTCACCATCTTTTATCTTGTTGCCCTCTGGAAGAAGTAAGTGTGCTGCCAGACATACGTTGTTGCCAAGCTCAAGCTGTTGTCCCCATCTACCCAGAAACTGCTTTGGCCAGACGACCGCGTAGGGTAATAGAAAAAGTACTACACGTGGCGGGAATAACATTAGCCATGCTACCACCACTGGTAGTGCAGCTGTTTCTTTGTCCTGTGGTGTTATTCCTGACCTTAAGTGCTTCCTAGAAGGCTGTAATTGAGCTCATAGGCACACAGGAGAAAAATATTTTTTTGATATTCTAAGTGTGGGATTCAACTAAAGCAGATATGTTCTGTAAATCAAGGGTCCCAAACGTTGGAATGATCTCCCTAGTCATATTAAAGATTTGTTTTTCTCTCATCCAGTTTAAACGAGAAAATAAAAAACTTCGTAATTAAGAGCTGACTGGAAACTACCTTACTCACCTTTTATCATTCCACATGTCAGCCTGTGTTTGCTGTTATTGCCTTCATTAATAACTAAACCTGTACCACGTACTGTTAATAACTACGTGTCAAATGAACCACAACAATTGTAGTGTGGCATTATGAGCCAGACACTCACCAGTTGCATGACATAATAGGCGCCGTATTCGTCGCTCTGGGTCTCCGACACCACGAACACCCGGAACGGTCCAGCCTGCCGGGAGGAATTATATTAGTCTGATGGAGGTACTCTGTATGCAGTGGGCTCCTGTGCATAGTGCATCTATGCACAGGAGCTACAACATGCATCACAGAAGTGCACTACAACAGATGTACACTACAACAAGCACTACAGATGTTCACTACAACATATGTATAATACAACATAAATCACAGATGTGAACTACGACAGATATACACTACAACATGCACCACAGATGTACACTACAACATGCACCACAGATGTACACTACAGCACACCCCCACAAATGTACACAAACACAGCAGATCTACACTACAACATATGTATGTTACAACAGACACCGCAGATATACATTTTTAGATGTGCACTACAACACGCCCCACAGATGTTCGCTACAACACAGATGTACACTACAACAGATGTGCATTACAACACACCCCACAGATGTACGCTACAATACACCACATATATACACTACAACAGATGTACACTACAATACTCACCACACATCCTCCAATTCCCAATACCATACAGTAAGGAGCCCTAAATACAACCCATTCTCTGGTTTAGATAGTACTTTATGTAACTATGTGGACCATCGTGCATTAATAGACGTAATTAACATTTACATAGTAGAATTTCGCAGAGTCCAAAAATTTAAGCTAAAAACCCGAACTTAAATATGCCTTGGTCCAAAATATTCCAATTAGCCCAAATTCAATAGTACTACTTAATACTCTCTAATTGACTTTAAATGTGTAGGATGGTTCTCATCGCTACTATAAGTAATACTGTGACGTGATATGGTACTGCGGCTGTACCGGCCAGATGGAAGGTGGCACTCGCATAACACTAAAAAAAAAAAACGCATAGGCCTTTGCAGTGTGAAAATTGTGCAGGAGTAAAGGTCAAAAAGCCAACCACTTGGGCTGGACGGTAGAGCGACGGTTTCGCTTCGTGCAGGTCGGTGTTCAATCTCCAACCGTCCAAGTGGTTGGGCACCATTCCTTCCCCCCGTCCAATCCCAAATCCTTAACCTGACCCTTTCCAAGTGCTATATAGTCATAATGGCTTGGCGCTTTCCCTGATAGTTCAATTGAAATTCAGTCCAAAAATTATGACAATTTACTTTATAATCAAGATAAATAACGTCTGAAATACACAAAAACCCTTGACTTGACACACTTGGCTAACACACAAAAGCAAGAATAAAATTGGCCAACAAACCGACATGAGGATGGGTGGAGGTGCGCACAGCATCTCTCCTACAAACATTCACGATTCCTTTCAGGGTTTTAGGAAACCACTGTCACATGGCGCACATATAGATCATGATTGTCACCCGGCCATAGAGGAGGATCCAGATGGAGGCTTCCAAGACAGTAAACATCACAGTAAGGCAAACCGATTAGAGGTGCAACGCCGCCATCATACAGAGGTAAACAGAGACTATCACTGCCCCAGGCGGCCTGAGTATCAACATCCACCACTCAACCAGGGTAGGACAAGTTCTCCTGGTTTGCCGACTTTAATTATTGCCTTTGATGTCGAAAATCGGAATGTTTTCGGAAACAGCAAGGCACAAAGTATCTTGTATCATGCCATTCCCAATATATTTAAGATCAAAGTGCACGATATTAGACCTCATAAACAAAGGAACTTAATTGCAGTTGACTACAAACATAGCGAGGAACTAGAGTGTTCAGGCGTCACTGATATCTGTGGATACAAAGTCAAATGCTACAAACCCCTATGAGACCGATTAGCAAAATATGTAATCCGACATGTTGTAGACATTAGTGCAGACGACATCAACGCACAACTTCCGGCAGATGGCATTCCAATCTTCGGGATAAAACAATTATGCGAAGAACAAATGGACAACTGAGTGATACAGGCATTGCCCTGCTTACATTTTAACTACACTCCCAATAGGGTTTGGTTTAACGGCTTCCTCCATAAACTATTGGTGTACGTACCACGTCCCACAGTATGAGTATGGAGTATGCGGCCCCAGCATGGAGCCCGTACTTGGTGAAGCACAAGGCAAAGCTTGAAAATGTTGAGAGATATGCCACTAGGCTAGTCCCAGAACTAAGAGGAATGAGTTACGAAGAAAGGCTGCGAGAAATGCACCTCACGACACTAGAAGACAGAAGAGTAAGGGGAGACATGATCACTACCTACAAAATTCTCAGAGGAATTGACAGGGTAGATAAAGATAAACTGTTTAACACGGGTGGTACACGAACAAGGAAACACAGGTTGAAACTGAGTACCCAAATGAGCCACAGGGACGTTAGAAAGAACTTTTTCAGTATCAGAGTAGTTATTAACAGATGGCATTAGGCAGTGATGTGGTGGAGGCTGACTTCACACACAGTTATAAATGTAGATATGATAGAGCCCAGTAGGCTCAGGAATCTGTACATCAGTTGATTGATAGTTGAGAGGTGGGACCAAAGAACCAAAGCTCAGCCCCCGCAAGCACAATTAGGTGAGTACAGTATTTTAAATGTAAAGGTTTTAACCATACCTCGAAAGGCTGCACCAAGGACATTAAGTGTGGGAAATGCTCTGGTTCCCATTACACACAAGACCAGTAATGAGACAAGACAAGTGAGTATCAGATATACTCACTTGTTCAAACTGTGGTGGCAATCATGACATTACATTCAAACAATGTCCTTCATACATAGCAGCAGCTACAAAAACTAAGGTTCTCCATACCACCAACCTGCAATACAGTCATGCATTGAAACAACCTAACTCACATCAACCGCTGCCTCACACTCAGTCACAACCTTTGCGTGTACCTGATATGTCTGTCACTGACAATCCTACACCCCCAGACTCCAATCCTCTCCCACAAAATATGCAACCAAATCCCGATCTTGTTGAAACTCTTGTCACTCGCATTGAAAATTCACTAGAAAAGACGCTGGACCGACTTCTAACTAACATACAGTAAGGAGCCCTAAATACAACCCATTCTCTGGTTTAGATAGTACTTTATGTAACTATGTGGACCATCGTGCATTAATAGACGTAATTAACATTTACATAGTAATTTGGTACTATTCACTTCGCAGAGTCCAAAAATTTAAGCTAAAAACCCGAACTTAAATATGCCTTGGTCCAAAATATTCCAATTAGCCCAAATTCAATAGTACTACTTAATACTCTCTAATTGACTTTAAATGTGTAGGATGGTTCTCATCGCTACTATAAGTAATACTGTGACGTGATATGGTACTGCGGCTGTACCGGCCAGATGGAAGGTGGCACTCGCATAACACTAAAAAAAAAAAAACGCATAGGCCTTTGCAGTGTGAAAATTGTGCAGGAGTAAAGGTCAAAAAGCCAACCACTTGGGCTGGACGGTAGAGCGACGGTTTCGCTTCGTGCAGGTCGGTGTTCAATCTCCAACCGTCCAAGTGGTTGGGCACCATTCCTTCCCCCCGTCCAATCCCAAATCCTTAACCTGACCCTTTCCAAGTGCTATATAGTCATAATGGCTTGGCGCTTTCCCCTGATAGTTCAATTGAAATTCAGTCCAAAAATTATGACAATTTACTTTATAATCAAGATAAATAACGTCTGAAATACACAAAAACCCTTGACTTGACACACTTGGCTAACACACAAAAGCAAGAATAAAATTGGCCAACAAACCGACATGAGGATGGGTGGAGGTGCGCACAGCATCTCTCCTACAAACATTCACGATTCCTTTCAGGGTTTTAGGAAACCACTGTCACATGGCGCACATATAGATCATGATTGTCACCCGGCCATAGAGGAGGATCCAGATGGAGGCTTCCAAGACAGTAAACATCACAGTAAGGCAAACCGATTAGAGGTGCAACGCCGCCATCATACAGAGGTAAACAGAGACTATCACTGCCCCAGGCGGCCTGAGTATCAACATCCACCACTCAACCAGGGTAGGACAAGTTCTCCTGGTTTGCCGACTTTAATTATTGCCTTTGATGTCGAAAATCGGAATGTTTTCGGAAACAGCAAGGCACAAAGTATCTTGTATCATGCCATTCCCAATATATTTAAGATCAAAGTGCACGATATTAGACCTCATAAACAAAGGAACTTAATTGCAGTTGACTACAAACATAGCGAGGAACTAGAGTGTTCAGGCGTCACTGATATCTGTGGATACAAAGTCAAATGCTACAAACCCCTATGAGACCGATTAGCAAAATATGTAATCCGACATGTTGTAGACATTAGTGCAGACGACATCAACGCACAACTTCCGGCAGATGGCATTCCAATCTTCGGGATAAAACAATTATGCGAAGAACAAATGGACAACTGAGTGATACAGGCATTGCCCTGCTTACATTTTAACTACACTCCCAATAGGGTTTGGTTTAACGGCTTCCTCCATAAACTATTGGTGTACGTACCACGTCCCACAGTATGAGTATGGAGTATGCGGCCCCAGCATGGAGCCCGTACTTGGTGAAGCACAAGGCAAAGCTTGAAAATGTTGAGAGATATGCCACTAGGCTAGTCCCAGAACTAAGAGGAATGAGTTACGAAGAAAGGCTGCGAGAAATGCACCTCACGACACTAGAAGACAGAAGAGTAAGGGGAGACATGATCACTACCTACAAAATTCTCAGAGGAATTGACAGGGTAGATAAAGATAAACTGTTTAACACGGGTGGTACACGAACAAGGAAACACAGGTTGAAACTGAGTACCCAAATGAGCCACAGGGACGTTAGAAAGAACTTTTTCAGTATCAGAGTAGTTATTAACAGATGGCATTAGGCAGTGATGTGGTGGAGGCTGACTTCACACACAGTTATAAATGTAGATATGATAGAGCCCAGTAGGCTCAGGAATCTGTACATCAGTTGATTGATAGTTGAGAGGTGGGACCAAAGAACCAAAGCTCAGCCCCCGCAAGCACAATTAGGTGAGTACAGTATTTTAAATGTAAAGGTTTTAACCATACCTCGAAAGGCTGCACCAAGGACATTAAG